AGAAAAACGAGTGGTTTTATACGGTCTTCGCGGAGTGTACTTATGCATAAATGTTTCCGTCCTGTTACGACTTCCATCGTTGTATTCACAACTGATAATGAATAACATGAACAGAAAAATTTTAAATGATATCCAAAATAGCCCTTTTTTTACTAAATTACCCATTTCCCGAAGTCAAACTAATATTTCTAATTTTCTCAGTAATATTTTAGATTTATTTTTGTCCAGTTTAACTTTATTCTTTGTCAAATTTGTTTTGTCTTTTTCTTTCTTTATCCTATTTTTCACGACTTATGACTTGAGCTTCAAACTTCTGTTCAACAAAAATTATTATTTTGCCATTCATCTTCGTACTCAAGCCAAGTCTTATAAAAAGTTTAAATTAATTTACAAAATAAAAATTTCTTTGAAAATTGAAAATAAATTTAAAAACAAATCTTATACCCCGAGCGGCACAAATGCACCATGTGGCACCGTGGGGATGACCTATCGGCAACTGTCAATTTTTTTTAGCCTTATGGTAGACCTATGCTAGATTTGTGAGAGACATTGCCGTGTGTGCCGCTCGGGTACGTTTCTAATCTGCTTTTAGAAATGACATAAATTTATTAAAAGTTTTTAAATAGCATCAGCTAAAGTTGGGTAGAGGTGATGAACTTCATTAAAAAGGCATTTGATTTGATAATTTAATTAAAAAAAATTTAATTCAATTATTAAAAGCTTTTTATCTAACTTTTAAAATTTTTACATAGACATGAATGATTAAAGTTTATGTCAAATGAACAAACTTTATTGAGCTGCTTACTGATTAAAGTCTGACTTTAGTTTGCATTTTTCTTTCTTCTCCTCATTTCTTAGGTAACGAAATTTCTATTTTAAATTTAATCTTAACTAGATTTACCACTTTTTCATTATTTCTCGTTGTAAAGTCGGCTGTAGTATAAATTTTGGTTAGTGTATTCGCATATGCCAAAAAGCTTCCATCTATAGCTAAATCCTTTACGAAAAATGAAGCTGGTTCGATTGGACATGATGTTGGAAGATATCTTTGTCCAGAACTGTTTTTCTTATAAAACCAATTTAGTAATTTGTTTCCTTTCCGATTTTTAAAAAATTTGCACATATCAACTATTGTTGGTTTTATGAAAGAAACAATTTTCCCCTTAGAATTCGGAAGATCAATTGAATAACTCATGTAAAAAGAAGTTAGTTTAACATGAAAAGTTACATTATAACTATAAAAATATGTAGAATTCTCAGAAATTCTAAGAGAATGTGCGAAGTCAATCAGATATTCGTTGTGAGTTTCCTCAGCTTTCTCAACAATTAACTTGTATTTACTCTGTAAAAATTAAAGAAGAAAGAAAATCTTAAAAATTGTGAAAGAAATAGAACTTTAAACTTTTCTTTAACTGTTTGATAAGAATAATTCACAATACTAAAAATTGACAATAAAATGAAAAATATTTTTAACTTCATGTTTATCATCAAACAAAAACTTCAACTATGAATGTCATGACATTTGACCATTGAACACGATTTAATTTTCAAATGACTTAATTTACCATGCCATTAAAATTTCTGCTAAGTACGCTATCTCCTCACATATTAATGATGGGTTGGTAATAATTGTTCAAGCTTGGCTTGAGGTAATGAAGTTATTCGGGAATATCAAATGGCATTTATTCAGCTAAATCTGTAACAAAGAGCATATTGGTTTTAAAAAAAACTGACGTCTTTGTTTACAACATTATACCTTTATTAACTTCAAGGCCAAGACACCCCAACCCCAATCATGGGCCTTATTTTGTCCCCGTTCAAATCTCAACAGTTTCAAATCACAACTTTGCAACGTCGACAATTCCCATGAATGGACCGATAACTTATTCTAATTTTCCAACGAACGCAAGCATGACGAATCATAATATTCATACCCTTCCGCCATCATACAACCAAGCTGTATCAAGTGCTGTATCTCCTTCTGTTCATCAAGCGGAAGGAAAGACTGTTAGTTCAACTTGACAAAAGCTATTTTAATGACACAGTGAATGGAATTCGTGCTTCAAATTNTGGGAAACAAAGAAAACTTAATATTAATTATATAATTTATACCGCTATAGCTTGTTTAAGTAATTTTAAGTATCTAATAATAAATGATTTGATAAGCTAATAGATGTCTTTTGTATTTTTATTTTTACTTTCACAAAACACTTCCAAATAAGTTGAGCGATGTAAATATTCTGTTACTTCAATCTTTTCAAAAATCAAATATAATTTGGTTTTGGGTGTTTTGTACGACTAGATTTGATGATTGAACAAAAACAGATTGTTGGCTATCAAAAATAAACGATATATTTCTTAGTTATCAAAAGCTTCCAGGAAGCTCTATAGAAAACGTGATGATCATAAATATAAGATACCAGGACACTAATTAAAAATTGCTACCTACAACAGTTCATATGTAATTTTAATCTTCTATGAATATTTTCAAGATTAATGTGTTAAGTTATGGTAAATATATAATGAAATAAGCCTGAACAAACGAATAAAAATCTTAAAAACGATATAAAAAAATCTTTCGATAAATTCAGATATTGAATAAAATAAATTTCCTAGTGAAGTAGGTTGAATGATTAAAGTTTAGAAAATATTTAATTTCTCAATACGAAATGAAAACAAAATGACTAATTAATCAAATCTTAATACGAATGAATTATTGATAACGATTTCTTGCATACGTCAGTTACTTGATATCACTTGAAGCGATTTTAAATTTCTCTTAATTATCTGAAAAAAATGATTAAAAGTCATGAAGCTTTCAATTTAACAATCACTGCATGAAAACAACAAATCGTTATCAATATATTTGATAGCGATAACAATTTAATATTGAAAATTCTAGGATTCCTCTAAAAGTTTCAAAATAAATATTTTCTATCGTCAGTTGAAAAAGAGAAGCGATCTGGTCAAAACAATATTGAAAATTCAGTTAGAGGCAAGAGTAGACACAATGGATGAATTTAGGCGAGGATCAGCTGGTCAACATCCCATACTATTTATTACTGTTTTCGTTTCATTGTTGTTAATTGTAATTATTGCAATTGTATGTGCCCATTATGTGAATAAGAAAAGAGAAGCTTCATATTCAAGTGAGATTTGAATTCAAATAATTTAGTAAATATTTAAATTAAAAAACAATTCCTAACTTAAGATCCTATTGTTGTATCATCGCAAACTCACGAGCCGATTGGAAATCAACAAACAACACACCAAGTACCGATACAAATAAATAGAAATGACACAGTTGATGTAAATTCAAAAACAGATAGTCAAATGCCTTCGTTTCATCAAAATTTTCCTATGCCAATGCCGATGCCAATGCCCCAAATGAATTTTCAGAATTTGGAACATACAAACTATCAGAATGTATCCCAAACTACAGTACCTACTGCACCTTATCCGACAACCTCATACATTTCTCCTTATCCAGTAAACCAACCATCAGTTACAGTGAGCCATAATGTTGAATCAAGAAAATTTTAATCCTCCATCCTCCCAACTTGGGAAACAAACAGAACTTAAATTTAACTAGGTAGTTTATGAATGCATCGAAAAGAAAAGTTGACTAGTAGTTTTGACAATTTCATATTTGTAAGAGTAACAAAACATCTGGAAAATGATCCATGACGTTAATGACATTTAAAGGAAGGGAATGAAAAATTTCCACTTCAAAGGTGCTCTAATATTATTTCCAACATATTATTAACGTGAAGATATCGAGACAAAAGTCTCATCTTTAAATAATTTACGATATTTTTAGCAATCAAAAGCTTCCAGGAAGATCTATTCAAAACGTTCATACAAGTGATTCTAGGAAAAGTGATGATCATCAATATAAAATACCAGGACATTTATTAAAATTTGCATTTGTATTTTCAAAACCTGCATATAATGTAATACGTCTTAGTATTTATCAATAAATCAAAATTTTGAAAAATTGTGAAAAGCGATATAAAAAATCTTTTAATAAGTTCAGATATTGTTTAAAATATATGACTTATAGAAGTAACTTGAGTGGTTAAAATTTAGTAAGTATTTCATTTCATAATATTAAATGAACACAAAATGACTAATTTTCTCAATACGAATGAAATATTGATAACGATATCTTGCATACGTCAGTTACTTGATATCACTTGTAGCGAAAACTTTCAGATTTCAGCAAAAGCATTCAGTTTAAAAATAACTATACATGAAAATAACAAATCGTTATCAATATCTTTGATTACGATAACAGTTTAATATTGAAAATTCAAGGATTGTTATCTATAAAAGTTTCAAAATTAATATTTTCTATCATCAGTTGAAAAAGAGAAGCGATCTGGTCAATACAATATTAAATATTCAGCTACAAACAAGAGTAGACACAATGGATGAATTTAGGCGAGGATCATCCACGATTCGAAATCCCATACTCTTTTGGAGTCTTTTCGCATTATGTGTCGTATTTTTAATTGGAGCAGGTGTATATACCTATTTTTGGAGGAAGAAAAAACAAGCTTTATATTCAAGTAAGATCTGAATTCAAATAATTTGGCAAATATTTATGTATATTAATAAATAATTTTCAACTTAAGATCCTATTGTTGTATCATCGCACACTCACGAACCGATTGGAAATCAACAAACAACACACCAAGTACCGATACAAATAAATAGAAATGACACAGTTGATGTAAATTCAAAAGCAGATAGTCAAATGCCTTCGTTTCAACAAAATGCTGCTATACCAATGCCAATGCCAATTCCGATGCCCCAAATGAATTTTCAGAATTTGCAACATACTGGAAATTCAGGTACAGCACCATATCCCACCATGGGTTCATATAATCCTCCATATCCAATTTATCCACAACAAAATATGGGGAATGTTAGCTCAGAAGAATCATCTCAGTCACATGGAAACGCTAACAGTTCATCTCATCCACAAGTCATAGGTTGGAATTCAAGGGGAACACAGTCAGAATTAAATTCTAAGGTAAGTTAAAAGAGACAAGGAAGCCATCAGAATATCAAAAATTGTATAAATTAAAAAAAATTAAAGAAAAGAAACTCTTCTTTTTTTTTGAGGAAATTTTTTAAATCTTTTGGTGGTGATTAGATATCGAGGATGTGTAGATAAGATTACAATTGAAACATTTAAAAGAAAAAAGAAATTGTTATCACCATCAAAAATATCCGCTATCATTTATTATTGTCAGACTAAGTAGATTTTATAAGTGAAAGAATAAAACTATGAAATACGTTTTGACCAACCAACCTAATGAAGTTTTGGAATAATATTTACATTTAGCTAGGTAACAGAATCTTAGAATGCTTGAACCACAAGATTGAAACGTTGATGACTTTTGGGATCATGTTGAATATTTCATAATTTCTATAGTTGTTATGTTGAGCTTATTTTTTCTGCATGTACTTGCGGATGAATCTTTTATTCTTTCATCCTTAGAGAAAACGTTGAATCCATTTCTCTAAGCAAGTATTTGAATATTAAGACGTCAGAATGTGAATACAAAAGTATAATTTCAAACATTTTCAGATCCAATTTCTTAACTGTTCTACTAAAAGCACAGTTTTATAACATAGTTGCAGTGCAAATTCAAACTATTAATTCAATCATAGAGGAAAGATGTTACGAAGAAACTAAAGTTGTGTAATACGAATTAACAACAAGGATAAAGAAGGATAATTAAGATGCTAATAAACCCCACCGTCATACACACCTCAAAAAGAGGATACACAGTGAGTGGTATGAACCTGTTTATCGACAACATCTGAAACAATATTTTATTAACTTCACAGAATGAATCTACCAGAGTGCACTGATATTTATCATTCCCAAAACAAAATTTCTAGCTTTAAATAGCGCAGCTAAAAATATATCAAACCAATAACATTCTGTACACATTTTTTATTAAAGATTTTTTTTCTTTATTTTGCTGAATCTTGATTTTTCGGACCGCCTAAATATAATTTTTTTTCTAAAAATAAACTTTGCTACGAAAAATTGTTACCTAAATAATAAAACTGCTATCAGATTGACGAAATGATGATATTTCAATTTTGCTCAAATAAAAATATTATAACCAACGAAAGAAAGTTAATGGAAATCAATTCAAAGACGATCAACTTTAGTTAAATGCTGTACAAGTTGGAAGAAAAAAGTAAATGTGAATGTCGTTGATAAATAAGCACATGTTGCTTAATGATAAAATGCTGCTCGTGAGTCGTGGTTAATATAAAGACGATATATAAGTAGGTTTATTTTTCAATTTTCCATTGTAGCAATTCTTAAATTTGCATTATATGTGGCATAATTTGAAATAACATTTTTCTTTTAATTGTACAATTCGGTATCAAGTGAATTTGATAAAAATTGCATGGGATAAACTTTAGCCATTGTTGCTATTATTTTCGTATTTTTACTCGCGTGTTGCTCACAGTCATTTAGGTGTAAATGTACTCATGCGAATTATAACTATTCATAAAAAGAAATAAGAATAATCAAAATATTAAAACTTCGCATGTACTATCGATAAAAACCTCATACCCACTACTTTTAACATATTTTCTCAGTTGAACAGATTATGAAGAAGTGATTCATATTCATACTCAAAAAAATTATCACTAAGAATACATTTTCTTTATTTTCAATATCCTTTAAATATTACATTTAGTTGTATAAAACTGTAAAAAAAGAAATACCTAATTTATACGAAATGGTAGACAATGTAGGTGTATTTTATTTAATAATTGTGATTGTTGTATTTATCCTAATATGCAAATGTTTATGCCAATCCTGTTCACAATCAGAAACACCTATGTATTCAAGTAAGTCATATCATATCAATCTTTTGGCTCAAATAAACAATATTGTATGCATTGATATATCTAAACTCATACTTAACAAATATGCTATCAGATTCACGAAATGACAATTTTTCAATTTTAAGTTTATTTCTTAATTTATTGAAAAATTGAAGAGAGAAAATAAATGGGAATGTCGTTGTTGATAAATACGCACATGTTGCTTAATGATAAGATGTTGCTCGTAGTTCTTATAAAGACGATGCATTAGTAGGTACCTATTTATTTTATTTTCATTTTTTCCATTGTAACAATTGATAATGTAGCAAGGTAGGTTAGTAACATAATTTAAAATAACATTCTTCTTGCAATATTGTACAATGCGGTATGAAGTAAATTTGATTGGAAATACATGCGATAAACTTTAACCATTGTTATTATTTTCGCAATCATCTATGTTTAAATATATTCATTCGAATTCATAAACACTTTTATATGCATATAAAGAAACAAGAATAATCAAAATACCACAACTTCGCATGTACAATCGATAAAAGCTTTGTACCCACTACTTTTAACATATTTTCCTAGTTGAACAGATTATGAAGAAGTGATTCATATTTTTTTCTGAAATTATCTCTAAGAATACATTTTTTTTTAATTTTCAATATTGAGCCTTTAAATATACATTTAGTTGCATAAAACAGTACAAAAAGAAATCATTTATACGAAATGGGAGACATTATAGGTGTAGTTTATTTAATAATTGTGATTGTTGTATTTACCCTAATATGCAAATGTTTATGCCAATCCTGTTCACAATCAGAAACACCTATGTATTCAAGTAAGTCATATAAGATATCAAACTTTTCTCTCAAATAAACAGCATTGTATGCATTTATAGATCTGAAAGTATAATAAATTATGATCTAGGGCCATAACTTCTAAATATGAATAATCAACAAATAAAAATTAAGATCTGAGCATCTATGTCAGAAATCATGACATTCCTTAAGTTAGAAGAAATTTTAGTTTATTTTGATAGCTTATCAGTATTATTATTTAGACGATTTACAAAAGATTTTGCCCATCAAATATTTCCTTAAGCTTTATACCCCTTAACAGACCCACATATTTTTTCATCAAATATTGAAATGAAAAAAAATATTTGTTCGCTATTATCTTGAGATTTAAAACGAATCATAGTTATTTCATGAAAAATATCTTTTAAGACAATTCCTTTATTATAAAAAGGTATTGTCGACAAATAATAGTGGATAGAAGAAGAATAATTTAATTTTTCCTATAACTATAAGAAACATAAATAACACCTAAAAAAAATAAGAAAAATGGATATTTTTATCCCAATATTTATAATTTTCACAATTTTTGTGCTCTGTTCAATGTGTGGATTCTGTTGTAAGAAAAATAACGAAGGGGCTGTGTTTTCGAGTAAGTTTTTAATATCAATACAAAAAATTATCCATGATGACTCACACTTAACGTTTATACAATTAGGATTGTTTTTTCAGTTACAAATCTACTATGTTTAGATAATTAATATTTGCATTTTTAATTTGAAAATTTTAGCTCCTGTTGTTATAACTTCACAAACACACCAACCTGTTGGTTCTCCAACAGCGTATCCTGTTCAAACGAATGTCAGTCACTCAGGTTACACTCAACAACCTCCTTCTGCAATGCCAATGCCACAACCGTATTCCTCACATCCGACAAGTGCCCCTTACCCTGCGTCATCTGCCCCTTATCCATCTGGAGGTCAAGCACCTTATCCTACTGGTGGAGCTCCTTATCCAACATATGGACAAGCATCCGCTCCTTATCCACCTCAAGCTTCGATGGATCCACCCCCATACAACGAAGTAATGGGAAGTGAAAATCTTCAAAAACAAGCACCATACAATCCAGGTTATTCTGGTTAAACTTAAAGTGACATAAAAAGCATAAAACAAAGAAAGAAAAGTTTGATGTTAAAAAAGCTTAAATAAAAATAAATTTGTGTCTTCTTAGTGTTAAGATGTTGAAACCAATCTACCTTAATGCTTTTTGTTTCAATATTTGAGAAGAACCTCTTAAAGAGATTAGTTTATAATGCTAATTACTTTGATGAAAAGCTTTATACTTATTCAGAACAATTTTCAAGATAACAATACGCTTTGAATTAAAAATATTTTATTTTAGATTTTACATTCGTTCACTGATAAATGTTAAGTCTACATATGTTAAAGAAAGAAAAAACAATAAAGAAAAGAAGATATTTAAAGCTTCTTTATTAAAACATAAGTTTTAATGTTTCACTGCTTGCAAATTTTTGATATTGATGTTAATTATTTAATAAAAAATGTTTTATTGAATTTGTTTTTACACCAAAATGCAAATAAAATTACTTGCTATCTTATTGGGGGAGGAAGTTTCCTTTATTTAAAGAAAATGTTAGAAGACCTTGTATTTGTACACCAATGAATGAATAAATCAAACAAAATCTGATGTCTTAATTTTTATTAATTTAATACATCACGAAGTGCATTAAAAATCGATGATTTTTTTCTCTATCGAATCCATTGCTCGTTTCTACAATTTATTCACGTTTAAATGCATCTTGTCATGGAAATGACATTGGAGAAAAATTATTTCAAACCAATGAATTTGATAAATGTTTATTTTTAAAAAAATATGAAAATTATACCGAAAACATTGTTCATTTATTCTACCTTTCCCTTCGATACAAATTTTATTTCTAGACTCTCGTAAGCGTTTCAATTTGAAATATCTAAGAATTTTATTTCAATATAATTTTCGGCCTTGTTTTCACATCATCTGAAAATAAACGAGATGTGTTGGTTAATCTACTACATACATTTTATTAGTTTTGCTCCGAAACTTTTGAATGATTTTATTTTATACATCAATAATATCAGAAAGCAAATTTAATA